GGGGCTGAGCCGGGAGCGCGCCCGGGGGGACCGGGGGGACCCCCTGACAGGGCTGAGGGGAGAGCTGGGAGGGACCCCCTGACAGGGCTGAGGGCAAAGGCACCTGCAGCGCGGCCTGCGGGCCCCTTGGATGAGCCAGAGGCCCAGGTGGGGCTGGTGAGGGCGGGGAGGGCTCATTAGTGCCCCCCGAGGGCCGCTGGTCATTAGCGGGGTTCCTGCCCCGGGGTGAGCTGTGCTGGGAGGGGAGGTGAAACTGACTCAAGTTGTTTTAGTTGCAGTGGTTGAGCGGTTTCTTGTGAGTTTCTTTCAAAGCTGAGGCCGATACTGACGAGATCCTAAAGAAACCAGTTTAGCTGCTGTTAGTAATCGGTGTTTCTCTTCTCCCTGCATATGGAGTCTCCTCTGCTCTCTGTTTCTTTCACAGGTGTTACGTGTTGCACGGGTTTGCAGGGCTGGTTTTTCACCAGTGGAAGCTTTCCAGCCTGGCTGTGATTGCTGTGTGTAAATAGATAAATCCCCTTCATAAGAAATGTGTGCTGCTGGTGGTTGCTGCACTTTTCAAACGGGTGTAGGCAGAGTTTTATCATGATATAGCATATTTCTAGTCTCCTTTAGTACAACAGCAGGGGAACAAACCTCCCGTGTGAGGCCTTTGAAGAGCCCCCTTCCTCCCTGTGCAGAGCAAATAGTGCAGATTGGTTAAAAAAACCCCTTGTACGTCTGTTGAAGGGGAGGGAGCTGCTTTCGCTGGGTCTTCTGCCTTCTTTGTGAAGCTTCCTGGGGTTTTGTCACAAAACTGACTTTTAGCCTTTGTGCTCTAAAGAGTTGGGAAGTTTACAGAGCTGGGTGTTTAGGGAAGCCAGCAGCCCTCCTGTTTTGTATACGGAGACGTCTTTGGAACAAATTAACAAGAGAGTTATTAATCTGCAACTCCCTAAGGACCCAAGTGTATGTGAATCTTGCAATAGTGTATCAGCACATAATTTAATGCAGTGTATGGCCCTCTGTTGGAGAGAAAGTAACTTGAGTGTGTGGGATTGCCCGATCTATTGCAACAATATTATCCTAGGCATGCGTTAAGTCTCAGACTGGCAGGGCCCAGCATAAATCAGAAGCATTGAAGTTGCTGTTCAGAGGTAAGTGTAGAGCTGAATTGGAAACCTGGCTTAGGAGGGAAAGGAGATGTTTTCAGAAACACTAGTGTATATATGTATTTTTTTTTAAAGTACTGTTTTCGGAGTTAACCCAACATTCTGTGAGGTGCTATGGGAGGCCATCAAGAACATGATGCCCACAGGTGTTGCTGGTCTGTGTCAGTCACTGCAGCTGTGTGAATTGTTTCACCTGTGAGCAGTTGAGGGGGCAGTGAGATTTGCATTGATACACCTGTGCAGTTTTGTTATAGTAAGAACTATGGTGGTATGTTTGGGTTTTTTTGCAAATGAGGCATTTTTACAGATATTGTTTCATTTATTATTTTTTTTTAACACTTGGAAGCACTGGTGCACAATTATTGAATCTGACTGGAACATCTGCTGGGAAACTCTGTTTTAATGCAATCAGTAGATGCTCTTAAATGAAAACTTATAGATTATACAATATAAACCTGGTCCTGTTGTCAGTGATCTTTGCCATTACAGTCCAATTAAAGTTAGCCTTCTATAGGATAGCACACTGTAGGGCATAGTGGTGATCCAACCCCCAGTAACTGGACTGGCAATTCCAGGAATTTAGAAAAATGGAAAGGAGGAGATTTTCCCACTTACTCTACAGCCCTGTTGCCGTTTGTTTTTTTTTGTTTGTTTGTTTTTAATTTTCAAGGCTTCTTTCAAGACCACTGTTTTCCTTCATGAATTCAAGATGCCTACATGTTTTCTTAAAACCAATAAAAATTTCAGCTTAGCTTTGAAAAAAATACTGAACTGGAGCTCAAATGACAGTTAGCATGATGCAGGGTTATTCTTGGAAGCATTATTTATGCTCAGCATGAAAGAGTGAAGCATGCAGTCTCTTACAGACACTCAGGCTTTGTCTCAAGTTTAGACACATAACAACAGATGAAAATATTTTCTTGGTTACTTGCAATTTAACTGAGAATTCAGATTCCAAGCAACATAATTATTCTTTTGATACACGGTAGTGACTGCATTATTGGGAACAGAGGGATACTGCTTGGGAACCAGAAACTTCTCATAATCTAGGACTGCAAAAGCTGATTTGTGTGAATAAGTTTTAAGTAGTTGTTGGTAAAAGTAGCAAATGAGAAGCTTAAACTTCATGTGCTTGTACTTGTAGTCTTGTATTTGTTCTATTTTCTGCTTTTATAGTTAAGATTGAAGGGAGAAAATCAACTGGAAGCTGGAAAAAATATATATATTTTTTTTCTTTCTCCAAGCTATGACAGAAAATTCAATTCTCCACATAGAAACTGGGAAGAGGATTTTGCTGGTAAGTAGATGAGGATTTTGTTCTTTCCTTGCTACTTCTATTTGAACCTGGAAATCCAGGAAGAGTTAAGGAGGGAGTGAAGCACACTGAGGGACTTGAGCTACACTGAAGCACTGTTTTTGGTTTTCCGAAATAGAATAAATCAATTCAATTCAGGAAGAACTTTTCTTTTTAGGATGAATAATCTTGATTACAACTGTAAAGGTCTGCCAGCTATTACCATAGCTTCCTTGTCCATGCAAGGGATAGGATGTCTCCAGAATTTTTCAGTTTTTTTGGCCTGTGAAGTGGAATGAACTCGTGTCTGACCAATGGTGATGCTGTTGGTGGCAGCACAGTTGGGTCTTTCCATTTTTTTCTCCAAAGAAATTTGGTAGAAGCAGATAGTGTGGCATGGTTGTTGAAAGCATGGAGTCTGTTCTTAGCACAGAACTCTTAAAAATATTTAAACTAAATGACTGCTTATTTGGTAGTACATGACTATTTTGACACAATACTGAGAGAAAGAGAAATACCAATTGTGTTCAGGTGTGCAAAAGTTTGAATTTTTAGTGCAGATGTGTCACTATAAATCATGCTGCTGGTCAGTCACATGTGAACCAATGAATGGCAGCTACAGATTAGATTTATAGCCCACAAACTGTGGAGCAATCACATTTGAGAATATTCAATTAATTCTTGGTCTCTCAGTTTCTGAGGAGCTGGCTCAGAATTTTGTAGTAACAAAAGTTACTTTGCTTAGTAACAAAGGATTTAATTTTGCTATCCCCAGAAAGCTTCAGGAGCAAGAGTGTTATTTTGTGGCTGTAGCAGAGTGAAGTTATGGGGGAGAGTGTGCCAAGCTGGAAGTCATCAAAGTGAGGTTTGGGGTGTCTGTGGATTGAAAAAATAATCAGTAGGGTTCCAGGGCTGTTCCTGCCCGTTTCTTCCTCTTTCAGTAGTTCTCTAGTGAGCAATCAGTTGTCAGCACCTCCTTCTATGTGAAGAATAATAAAATACATCATCTCTGTTATTCAATTATAAGCCTCTTCCTTTCTCCTGATTGAAATACGGCTTTGATTTTATTAAGTGACCTCCTTTAAAAAGCTGTAAAGTAAGGAAAACTGAGTAGTCACCCTTGCAAGGTAGGGAATATCCTGTCTTTTTCCATCTGAAAAAGGTCTTGCAGCAAGCATGGGACCTAGAGTAGATGAGATAAAGTTCTTTCCCAATCTGACTGTTGACAGAATTTTATTTTTTCTTATCTCTTGTTACATCCATGAATCCAAGTATCATAAACTGAGGAAGTATTTAAGAAAAACTCCCTGTCACACAGGCGTGTATGAAACAATTTTAAGGTTACTCTGTAAATAAAGCTGAGGATGAAAATTCTCTGAAAATATTTATTTTGTGTAAAGTTCTCCCCCCGGTAGCTTTTGAGAACTGTTTCCCAGGTGTGTGTTTGTTTGTTTGTTTGTTTGATTGATTGATTTCCCATTTTGTGAGGAATTTCTAGCTCAAATCCTCTAGATGGTGCTGCAGCTACAGCACATGGAAGTGAACTCACCATTAGGTTTGGTCTCGTTAAAATGCTGCTTCACTTAAGTCACGTATCGTCCGAAAGGTTTAATGACTTCAGCTACAATACTGGTTACAGGTTTATGCAGGGAGGAATCGGCATGGTGGGTTACCTGTTCTCAGCTAAGTAAGAGTGGAATGCTTTTTTTTATAGATACCGAAGTCTTGCAGGAACTGTTGTGCGATCAAATTATCCCCTCATCTCTTGAAACTGTATCTTGAGTGCTGACAAGGGCAGAGGTGGCCAACTGTAGCCTGTGGTGCTGATTAAGTGACAGCAATAAGCCTCTTTAACTCCCAGCAGATGTTGCTGCTTTTGTATGCTAATGCGAACTTCACAAACCATTTTCTCTTCCTTCTGAGAGCAGATGTAAGTACATGAAAATTGCTTTCTTATATCAAGAGCAAATTGATAATAACCTTGGTTCAGTTGTAAAACAGAAGCTGTAGAGGCACTTTTATTTGGTAATTGCAGAAAGCTTATGCAGAACTTCATCAAAATCAATTTTTTATATTCTACTGATTTGTCCTGAAATAGTTTAAGCAAAGGCTGAATTGTGAGCACATTGCCACCTGGCTTTTAAGCCAGCCACTCAGAGGCTTTGAGGCTGGCATGTTATTGCCTCTAAGGTAGCCACTGCTACTTTGCTTATTTCAGTGAGTAAAGTTTAGTCAGAACAGGCAAGCTGGTGTATCAGTAGTATTGCTGAGCTTTTGGTGACCTGACATGGTGCTTTGTGTGTCTGCTGCAAATACACAGTGCATTGAGTTGTGCATCCCTGAGGAGAAGGCCGTGTCATGTATGCTAATGGTCCACAGGTCTGCCTTGGTAGGAAACATGCACTGAGCAACAAGAGTTTTGGGAATGGCTCTGTTGGTGGCTGAATGCTATTGAGGTTAGTTCTGTTGCTGACAGTGAGGGCTGTGTTTGTGATTAACTTGTATGCAAACACTGGGCTCCAGAAGTGTCAAAACTTGGGAAGGGGACCACCTATCCACTGTGTTATAGCTGAGCCATATGCCTGGCTCAAGGGTATAGACTGTCCTTTGTAAGAATGAGAAAGAACTTGACCATCTTTATGACATCAGTCTGTAAAAGGTGTTTTCAGACATGGAACTGCATTTTAGTACTTCATTTCACTTGGATAATTGCATCCTTCCTGATGTAAGCTGACACTTTGCATTTTAGATTCTTTGAGAGGATGGTAAAAATTTGATCTGCATTGTCCAAATAAATAGTTTAATGTGCAATGAGATGGATACAATTTTAATTTGCATTTCTGATTATTCTGGAAAAATCCTGGTTTTGAAGAAAAGCAAATACTTCTGTGGAATTTATTTTGCATCCCTAATCTCTTTGGAAAAACAACTATGTTTATTGCTGAGAAAGCAGGAGGATGCTGTAACTGGTAACTCCTAGGCTGGAAGCCAAGAGAAGGGAAGCTATTGGTGGACACTTGTTCTGACATTCACATCCATCACTTGTCTGGCAGAAATCAAGTTGCTGTGAACTTTGTCCAGTGTGAAAACTGTGGGGTTTTTTTTGGTAGTTAATGTAATAATCAGAATTAATACAACTGGGGACTTGTTCTTTTGGTATTGGCGTCAACCTGTGACATGGTGTCACTCTTTGGTTTTAACCCTTTGTAGGCATCTCATGATTGCATATCTAGGTCTAAAACCAGAAGTAATTTCAGTAGTAAACTAGAAAGGTTTTAGAGGTGGTCTGTGGCCATTGTAAAACTTCTTGGAAGAAGTAGAGATTTGTGCCAGATCAAGTTGTTTGCATCCCAGCATTGCAGCCTCACCATTTGCATTCTTCCTGCTTTTGCCACTGTTATGTAGTGAACCTTTAACTTCAGTCACCTCCTTTAGCTCCATGCCACCTAACCAGCAAAACCTATTACTCGGTTCAGGCTTTATACAGCTAGGAGCTTAGAAAAGTGTCAACAGAATGGTGGTTCTGAGGGTGCACTGGAGTGGTGTCAGATCAGTTTCCTGTGACAAAGTTCTCTAGTGCTCTTGGAACTGGTGGGCTCTCCAGTAAATGTAAATATGTGACATTGACATCACTAGAGTGAAACCAGAACCTCAGTGAAATACTGTATCTGTCTTTCATATGGTAGAAATGTTTCTGTGAGGTTGTATGTGTAAATTAAAAAATAGCCATTGGCACATGGTTTCCAGGTAACCAATTCATAAACATGGGTACATGCTCTCTAAACACAACTTGCATTACACCATCAATCATGATTCTGTGTTCTCTTTTACGTGGACACTTTACTGTGTCATCAGTAGCAGTGATCTGTGATGTGAGGACAGAAACTTCTTTTTCTCCCTCTGCCTATGGTGATCCAACAGTTGGTGTCCATGACCAGCGTTCTGAGAAGTATGACAAAGGCAAATTCCTCTACTGCTGAAGGGTGGCATTGATATGTCAGGGATACTTTTAAAATAACACATTGATGTAAGGTGGAGCCAAGAGAAGTTGAGCCTAAATTCTGAGCCTAAATTCCATGCCTAAAGAAGGTGAGCAAGCAGGTGAGAGTTTAGTCCCCAGGTGCTGGGTGTGTGCCAGCAGTCAGTTCCTAGTTTTGATCCCTTCATGTACACATTCATGCCCTCTGCCCTGCTGATCAAAGATGTTTTCCTCTTGTGTAATTTTTAAAGCAAGCTTCTGTACGTTAGTCCTCTCCTCCTGAATTACACTTGGTAAATTTTCTGTGATGTAACTACCACACTTCTCATGCCTTCTGTGCATTTGACTCCTTGACTGATAACATGCTGCAGGTGCAATAGATGAATGGTTGTGAGAAAAATTAATACTTTGAAGAATGTCCTGAACTTCCTTTACTTGAAACTTTACAATATCTGGGAAAGAAATAAATCATGCAGAGGTTCTTGCAATTGGGTAAAGTGCTTTAATATAGTACTAGAAAGGGAAAATTTTAGGATACTTGCTACTTCATAAATGACACACTTGATTAATGTTCATCTTTGATCAAAAGTACATTTTAGTTTTGATTTAATCAGCCAGTTGTGCCACAACAATGTTGCTCTGTTCCCAGCCTAGTTCTGTGCTAGGATGAACACTGCATAAATATCTTAATAACTTCACCCAAATTCTAGGTTTTCTAGAAAGCATACTTAAGAACTAAAATGGTAAACTATTCATAAATGTCTAGTTAGTTGACCACTTCTTGGTAAAGAGAAGAGCTTTGAAGCAAGCCTGGAGTCGTCTGTGCAGCCTTTTAAATCCCAGCTGGGGCTGAATGGTCTTTAAAAAAAGAAGCATACCAAGGCTACAGGCTGGAGCCAATCCAGTGCAGTTCCCCACTGCCCTGTCACTTGGAACTTCAAAATATTTTAGGAAAAGCTGTAGTAATTGACTTGGCAGGTTATTAAGTACAACTGCTGCCACTTGCAGGACTTTTTCCTGCTCATATTTTAGAGTGTACTATTTGTCTGGGGCTACTCAGTATTTACTTCTACCTTGAAACAAATTTTGTGCTTTCTTTGGGGTTTGATGCCATACTAAGCAGAGGATGGTAGCCATTTGAGGCAGGCAAGTCATGTAGCATCCCTGAGGCTGGAATCCCCATCTATTTTCCTTCCTTTCCTACTTTCCAATGGCAGCACTATAATTTTAATGGGAACACATGATGTAGTGAAGATGAGCCAAAGCCAGGCACTATTTGCTAATCCCTACAGAAGTTCTTGGGTCAGTACCTCATCCTGAAGTCTGCCTTCATTTTGGAAGTGAGATAGACTATCAGCAGTTCCTCAGTGGATCAG